AAGCAGTTCAGAGGTGACAAGTGCTTGAGGATATAGATCCCCCTCAAAACGCATATGAGAGAGAGAGAGAGATTGGTTTTGCTCAAAAAATACTCGAGTTGAAACTTAATTGTAAGTTTGAAACCATGTTAAGTCATCTTGGGTATCAAAATTAATTTTTTAAACATTGAAGTAATTTTTGGGTAAACTAAATTTTTGGATATCAAAGTCAATATGGTGGCAAATTTTGGGATTTAGATTTTCTTCAATTATGTGGTAATCGCAGAGGGTCCAATTATTTCGATCTTTACATCCTATCTCAATTTCAATAGATGAGATCATACCATCTAAGATTTTCATTATCACAAATAATAGTTTTGGCCATAGCGATTTTTAAGTTCATTAGTGGTTTTCAATAGCAATTTGATTTTTAAGGTAACAATAGATATGTAATGTTGCATGATCTCATCCGTTAAAATTGATATAAATAGTAAAAATTAAGAGAGTTAAGAAGAGAATCTAAATCCAATTTGTAAATGTTTTAATTGAAGGGTGGCACTAAGGGCACACCTCTAACCACAACCTCAACCACACCCCCTCTCTCATTTGTTACAGTGTATCGGGCCTCATATGAGATTTTTAAATTTAAAATCTCATGTAGAATCCGATGCACTGTAACAAATGAAAAAGTACGTATGATTGAGATTATGACTGGGACGTGCTCCTATCCTTTTCCTTAATTGAAATAAACTCTCTTTCACTATCTTTCTCTTCACGGGAGAGAGGGATGTAGCCTACGTAGGCCGCCCTCTCTTCAAAGCAAAGGTCACACCTGGGAGCGAAAAAGTTCACATGGCAACCGTCACTTCACTTGAGTACGGACCAAGAAAAGAAGAAGAGAACTCAATTCCACCCAAATTTAGACCAACCATAGGTTTGTGGGTCCCCATTTTAGTACGAGTAACTTTAAACTTTGTTCCCCCCTCGTATTTAGGCCCCAAAATCTTTTAGTTTACCCGAATCCATTGAAGTTTTTACATAACAATTTCAATTCATTGAGGTCTCATAATATTTTCTATATTCTTTGTCAGTAAAAGTTAGGGAAATTGCACATGAGCCCATTGGATATTGAGTGTTACTGTAGCAGAGAGAGGGGAGTGTGGCTGAGGGTGTGGCACAAGGTGTGCCTGTATCATTTTTGTTGGATATTTGCGTATGTCTGCGTGTGTGGGGTTGGGTTCTTTTTTTATTTGTGTGTTTGTGGGCCGCGGTGGTTTTTTTTATTTTTTGGTGGGGGGGTGTGTGTGTTCTATTCTGTCAATAAACTATCATGAACTACGTAAATTAATGAAACTATCGCGGATTTACTCAAAAATTCTGTCAGCAATCAATCCAATATTTTGATGTTAAATGAACAACATGATACAAAAGTTAGGAAGGTGCTGCAGACACACCCTCTTGTGATGTACAATGACAGGAGGTATGCCGAGGTTGTGCCTGTATCATTTTTTTCAAAAGTTAACATCTCAACGAAATTGCTCTTTCTATCACATATTTTACATGTACTGTTTTATATGGAATTCTAAAAATAAGACAAAAATAGTTACTATGCATCAAGGTTCATCAGATCTAAACGTACGAGAGTCTCATTTTTTCGGAGCCAATCAAGCAAAACGCCATGATTGTACATCACAAGAGCATTACTAGTTTTCCGTGATAGCAGGAGTTAATTTACTACGGATAGCAGGAGTTAATTTTTAAATTTCTGAACAAATGTTTGGTTAAGTTTCAGACAACCCCCCACTCTTTGGATCATTCCTCCAGAAAACCCTCAAATGCTCTTTCTTGTCTTTGCAGCTAAACACCAAAACTCTTACAATAGGCTCCATTTATTCATGATAGAAATTTAAGAAGCCGCTTATTTGCAAAAATGTCCAATTTGAGAGTTTGTTTTGCAAAACAAGTTATTAAAATAAATGAAAAATAGGAGGGATATTTTCGTCACTTTGGATATTATGCAGGATATTCTTTGGGAATATATAAGAGTATGGAGGGTTTGGTTGGAAATTCCCTATAAGTCTCGGGGCTTTTATGAAATTTACCCTAATAGATTTTTTACTAGTTCAGAGCCAGATTTTGCCACGTGGTTAAAATGATCGGATAAAAGGAAGATGTTTTTCTTATCTACTCCTCTATGCGTGTAGGAGAATCAAAATATTCACTATTTATGCTACAATAATACTATAATGTAATGTTATTACTGCACCACAAAACAGATTACCGTAGTATCATTACTGTAGCACATGCGGAATACTGTAACATTAAAAAAATTACTGTAGCATTCTAAAAAATGATGTAGTCTTTTAAAATAGAATCACTATATATAGCAGAAACGAAAAAAAAGGGTCGTGTTTTGCACCAGGTGCACACTAATTCTTGGGTGGAGACAAAATGTTACGTACATCATGCTATCTCAAATCATATCCATATCATGCAGTGGCATTCAAATCGAAATTTCAATTTGTCTTCACTTTTCGATCTGGGCAATTCTATTTTGTTTTATTTTTACAATAGCAAAGAGATAGTTTTTGCAGTCCTGGCAAAATAATAATAATAATAACAATGAAATAATGCTGGTGCTTATATAGTGAGGACCTTGACCGCAGGTTTTTTCACAAAGATCTAGACCGCAAATACTCAATTATTAAAGGCGTCTATATAGGGTAGCTTCATGTAGCATATTCTGAGGAAATTGAGTTTATCCTTCAATAAATATATTTTTATATTCTAATGTTGGAATAGTCCTTTAAGCCCAGACTATTTTGCTATTCAACATCGTGGCTTCATTTCAATATCCTTTCTTTTTTTTTTATTAATAACGCAGTCTAAAATTAAATCTAAAATCGTGAAGTCATATTGAAAGCTCACAACGAAAAAGAGGGTAGCTTCATTTCAACGGTGCGTTAAATTTTAATTTCTAATCTCAAGTTCTTTCATCTAATCAAGGCTCACATGTAAAGATCAAAACATCATATCTTCAACGGATCTTCACAACGACGTAATTGTTATATAAGATGACATGTCACATAACCAATAGTGAAGCTAAATAGCGTCCACACCATTGAATTTCCTAATTTATAGACATATTTTAATGTGTATTTACTACTTAGGACACTACTAAATTTAGGGTATGACACCATCAAGGAGGATAATTTTAGGGATTGACAGACTTCAATAAACACATAACACTTCAAAAGAATAGATGTTACTTTTGATTTTTAACTCTCTCTTTTGTGTGCGTTCGATAAGATCGTTAACAAAATGTGGACTCTAGCCAACTCTTCTACCTAGAGCAAATACCTCCCTTAATCCAAAATTAATTCACTCAAACTTCTGATCATGATTTTAATCAGCACTCAAAAGCATTCTTCATTTCTAAAAGCCACATTGTCCCTATCCTTTTAAGAGATCCCCAAGGCATTGACCAATAAAGCTTTTGCCTTATTGATAAGCGACCACTTCCATAGATTTTAGGATAGGCTAAATAGCACTTATACACCCTGTTGTTTCATCTATTTTGTACTTATATACCCTCATTTATATTTGATAGCAAGAAAACATCCTAAAATTATTTAAACCTACACTTAATATCCCTCTCTTGTTTTTGGTAGCACTAATATGCCCTAAAGTTTTTAAACCTATACTTAAATATCACAAAGTTTTTTAATCTGATACTTAAATACCCTAAATTTTTTAACACTTGCGCAATATCCTCAAGTTAGCATAACTGATGGTATTTATGTGCAACGTTTAACAATTTTAGGGTAGTTACGTGTGAGTTGTAAAAACTTCACGGATTTAAATGCTAGTTGTAAAAACATTAAGGTATTTAAGTGTTGCAAAAAAATAAGATATATAAGTATAAGTTTTAAAAAACTTTGGGGTATTTTTTTTACTATCAAATACAAGTTGGGGGTATATAAGTGAAAAGTAGTTGAAACAATACGGTGTACAAGTGCTATTTAGCCTTTAGGATGTTCTCAATATTTAAACCATTAATAGGGGCATTTTGGTCATAATAAAATTATGTTGCCGACCACCGAAGAAGTCGGCAACGGGCGGCCAAAGACCCGGGAGAAAAATGCGGGACCGTTTTCAAAACCTACCGCAAGGTAACAGACGGATTTGCCCCTATTCATCTGGACCGTTAGATTCAGTGAGAGGGAATCTTGACCGTTGAAAGGATTTTGTTCTACCATTGGCTTGAGCTGGGACACGTCGCATCATGTTGTTTCTTTCACATAGGACCCTTCGTTGCCTCTAATTGTGTTCAGCACCCTGTACAATTTTTTCTTCACACTATTCCCTTTTTGCCTTCGTTGTTTTTTTTTGCCATCTAGATTTGAAGAAGGTTAAATAAATGTTTTCTTTTTCTAATTAAATTGTTTCACCATAATATCATCGATAGTTTTGATACATTGCATGATAACAATTCAACATTTAGAATTTATTATTTCTTTTGTATTAATTAATTAGATAGAAAGTACTAAATTCGTTAGCTAACACTATTTATAATGTAATTATTTTCACAATAGAAAACCTCACATTTCAACTAACTGATAAAAAGAACTAACTGATAATTAACTTTAGTAATGCAATACACGTGTTGTTCAAAACTAATCAAGTCCAAGGTACTAGATCATTGTTCAAGTTTTTCTAACAAGAGCCTAAATTATATGTATTTTGTCTGATTTTGAAAAGTTTTGAAGATCCTGTTCAAATCGAAAAATGTCTTTTGACGAGTTCTACTTATTAGGACTACAGAGGGATTAAGAACTAACCATGAAAGGAGAAGGAATGATGAAAAAGAAAATGTCTAAATTGTAAGGGCTTATATGTCAAAATAACTAACGAACAAAAAATTAAAAAAAAAGATAAGTAAACAGTTCATTTTACTTTATTTAATCGTTGGTATAAATTACATCATGTGACGAATCTATTGTGTTGCCTCTGTTCTTTCTCACTCCTTAAAAATAGCTTCGTCTCTTCCTCCTCCTCGATTTCTGTTTCAAAAAAGAACCCTAATTATTTTGGGCGGTCGAAATCAATGCCGTTAATCCCAGATTCAGCTCTTGATCCCTTTTCCATGAAACAAAGGTGAAATTCTCCGCTTAATTCATCGAAACCCCAACAAAAGTTTTGATTTTGCCGTTAGATTTCATTCTAAAGCGTGGCATTCATTGTATGATCTGTCAAAATTCAAAAAAAATTCAAAAAAAAAAAAAAATCTGCAGTTTTTTTGAGCATTCAAAAATTATGGAAATTAGGGATCGGTAGAGATTGTGATGAAGTGTTTGGTGGTAATTTGATTTTTATGGAAGTTTCTTTTGTTTTGTGTTGACAGATGAGCAAGCTTGATTCAATGGATGTTGCTGAGATTGAGGAGAGTTTGTTTGCAGCTTGTGATGCAAAGGTATTCATTTGTGCTGTAATCCCTCTTATAATTTAAATTGAATTAAAGATTTTTTTAAAAAGTTTTTTGTTAATATAACCAAAAATTTGTATGTTCATGGCAGGATAAAGAAAAATTGCTACTTTAATTATTTCTGTTGTGAATATAATTGGATTTAGATAATTTCAAAAAAAAAAATTCATAGAACTAGAGGGGGAAAAAATCTCCGCCCATCGTTGTAAGTTTTTAAATGTAGGGATGGCTTCCCGATCTCATGTTTAAGATCGGCAATTGGAGGTGTTTAATTCAATGTGGTATAATTGGGGAGGAATTAGCAAATATCTGGATTTGGAGGGCAAATTCGAAAATATTATTTGTTTAGAGGTACATAGTAAAAAACCTTGATATCATTATTACCAAGGTAGTTTCATGGGGAAATTTGGATTTGGCCTCCACAATGTTATTGTATAATAAATGATTTTTAAATTCTTAATTTGGTATCGTTTTGTCAATTCATAAATGGTGTGGAAATTGAAATTTGGCTTTAACCTTAGCCTGTTTCTAACATGAGTGATTGTGACATATTATAGTTGCATGGTGGCATGTGCAAGGAACTTTCTGCAAATTTCTAAATTCTTAATTTTGGTCTCAGTTTTTGTCAATTCGTAAATTGTGGAATTTGAGCTTGCGCTGTTACCTTAGCCTTTTCTAACGTGAGTGATTATGGCATATTACAGTTGCATGGTGGCATGTGCAAGCAACTTTCGATAATTGTTTGTAGAATTTTGGAGATATTTCCCGTCTTAGAAGCAGGGAGGCCTAGGAGCAAGTCTGGCATACAAGCACTGTGTTCATTGCACGTAGCACTTGACAAAGCCAAGAACCTCCTTCAGCATTGTTCAGAATGTAGCAAACTTTACTTGGTGAGTTTCTCAGATTTCCTTGTCCTAAAAGTTTTCTGTAATTTGATTTTTCTGCTCAATTTTCTAATTTTTAGGGTTTGTTAAGGTTAACAAGTATGCTATTCATTGTAATAACTTCAAGATCGGATTTATTGGAAAATTGTGTCGTTCCTCCTATTGTTTTCTTCTAACGTTTTGCAACTTAAAATCTTAAAAACTTCAGTTGATTATCTATTTAGAGGCGTGGCTAACCCTGTCAAATGTTGCACTGTTTATACAACTTTAGATCATTGCGTATTGCACTATTATATATCATATCAGGGGTTGAGTGACCCAGAGTACATTTCTTTTAACAGTTCATATAGCGATGATGTCTCATCTTTATAAATCTTCTGATTTAACAGGCTATAACGGGGGAGTCCATTCTTTTGAAATTTGAGAAGGTCAGATGTGCTCTTCAGGACAGTCTGAAGCGCGTGGAGGAAATAGTTCCACAAGCTGTTGGTCGTCAGGTGAGTTTCATATATCTAATCATGTATTTATCACTTTGTATTAGTTTTTACATGAGATGTGAAGCACATCATGTACATTTACAATTTTATGTTACACATTAAAGAACTAATTAGAGATTCATCCAGCCAAAATAAAGAGATGCCTCATGTCAGCATATTACACTTAGGTTAATCCTCGGGGAAAACCACAATGAAGCTCCCATTGGTTGCATCATCATCATGATCAATTGAGAAAATGTCCTGTAAAAATGTGTTGGCTATGTCTTTGTATGTGTTTATGTGCATGCATGTGTGTTTGTGCGCGTGCTTGGGCGTGTTTGATGCAGGGGGAAGGGGTTCCTGATGGAATAACTAAGATATTCTTTTTAAAAAGTAACCCCTCATTGAATAATTTTTACTTGGAGACAGGGGGCAAATTGTCCATTTTTTTAAATCATGAAAGGAGCATGTGATGTGTTAAAGTTGATGGCATCAGTCATGAAATTTTCCTCTGTATATGTTCACGTGGATGAACCTTGATGCTGTAGAATCTTAGGTGACGGTATTTCTTTTTTTCCCCCATCTATTATAAATTATGAAAATTCCCTCTAGAGCCCTCTATTAGATATAGTTACTTGCCTATGTCGTGCAAACAGAGGCTGTAATAGCAAGGACCTGAACGTGGCTTATTCTTGGCATTAATAGATTAATGTTGATTTGGAAATTTTTACCTAAACCTATGCGGATGGATTCCCTTATTTACTAGCTATTCTTATTCAGCCTTTAGATTGGAAGAGTACGGTATCCTTCATATAGCTTCCGCATAGGCTGGACTAACCAACTTTGCCAAAATTATGTTGTTAACTCTTAAGAAGATACATCACTGCGGTTTGTCTCCCTCTTTTAAGTCTTATCCTTTTTTTTATAACTCTGTTGCTGATGGTGAATGACAGATTATGGAGATCGCTAGAAAGCTGGAGGAAATTGTATTTGCTTTGGATCAGTCAGAGAAGCAGGTAGGAGATGATGTAATTGTATTGCTTCAGAAGGAGAGAAAATTCAACAGTAACTTGAATGATGTCAATGAACTTGAGATCTTCCATCAAGCTGCTCTAAAGCTGGGCATTACATCTTCGAGAGCAGCTCTCACTGAGAGACGAGCTCTTAAAAAGTTGATTGAGAGAGCACGGATTGAAGAGGACAAGCGGAAAGAATCCATCGTGGCATTCTTGCACCATCTCATGAGAAAGTATTCTAAGCTTTTCAGAAGCGATTTGGGTGATGATACCGACTCACAAGGATCTGGTCCTTGCTCTCCCACCTTTTCTTCTGAGGCAAACGGACGAGTCTTTGAGAGACAGTTCTCTAGACTTAGTTCTTTCAATTTCAAGCAAAATGGGTTGAAATCAGGAAACATGTCGTTGCCCCCCGAGGAGTTCAGGTGCCCGATCTCCTTGCAACTCATGTACGACCCTGTCATAATTTCATCAGGACAGACTTATGAGCGTGTTTGCATTGAGAAATGGTTCAATGATGGCCACAATACTTGCCCGAAAACTCAGCAGGAGCTCTCTCATCTTGCTCTAACACCGAATTACTGTGTTAAAGGATTGATTGCTAGCTGGTGCGAGCAGAATGGTATATCAATTCCTGATGGGCCGCCGGAATCTCTCGACCTTAACTACTGGAGATTAGCCTTGTCTGAGCGTGAAGCCTCAAATTCAAGATCGATGACGAGTGTGAATTCTTGTCAGCTGAAGGAAGTCAAGGTGGTTCCTTTGGAGGAGAGTGTCACTTTAGAGGAACCGGAAGGGGGTGAGATGGCCACTATAGATGATACATCTTGGAAAGATGCTGAAGTTGATCAGTATGAAAGATATGAGAGCTTGCTGGCTGTCCTTTGTGATGGTCAGAACTGGAAGAAGAAATGCAAAGCAGTAGAGGAGATAAGATTTCTGCTGAAGGATGATGATGAGGCTAGGATATACATGGGTGCCAATGGGTTTGTTGATGCGCTGCTCCAGTTCTTGGCATCAGCCGTTAATGAAGAGGATGAAGGAGCCCAGGAGACTGGAGCTATGGCTCTTTTCAACCTCGCTGTCAACAATAACAGGTATCAATGCTATTCAATCTCATTTTCTAGACTTGATGATATGTGGGTTAAATTATAACGAGATATGATTCCATGACCCGTCTGTTCATTTTATGTTGCAACACATGACTTGAATATCTAAATAGTACTTTATAGTTCGCAAATTAATTATAAAATGTGTTTTAGGTTTCTAATCAATGACTGAATATCGTTAGAAGGATCACTGTAACCTAATTCATTATATTCCCTTCAATTTGCACAGCAGTTTATACATTTCAAGTTGCAGTTTGTTTCCGATCTGGATTGCTAAATCTGGTGATCCTAGAATAAAATAAGAGAGTTATTAATTAACGAGTAAATGGTTAATGTGCTCTTTTGATATGTTCAGATAGCAATTAGTCTTTCTTATTTAATGAAATTATGGTTCCTAACCATTCAGTGAGTTTGAAGTTTGGACTTTTAACTTTTGATTATTGACTACATGCAGTTTTACATGTCTATTTTTTTTTCTTTCATATACAGATAGATAATATGCATGCATCATTTTCGAAATGACCCTATCAAATACTTCCAAGCACAACCCTAAACACCAACCAGATTGCGCCTATTACCTATGTACCATGCACCACATGCCACTCAATATAGCACACCCCGTAATGTTGCCATAAACTAAAGCCTGCTGTGAATCTGGTATAACCAAATCAGATTTTGTTAAATTATTTGAAATATGTTATTGTAGATGATAGCTTACTTTGGTTATTAATTGGTGTTTTCACGACATGTACTATTACTTGAGGGAGTGCTGCTACAGGGACCCAAAATATGGGACCAAGAGAGGGGACATGTGAGGTGTCCCCTCCCTATTGCATAATGAGTGCGCCATGCCATGCCAACTCATTATGCAATAGGGAGGGGACACCTCACCTGTCCCTTCCCTTGGTCCCATATTTTGGGTCCTTAAATCATTTTCCTTACTTGAGGCATTATTATTCTGTGAGTATTAGATGTATTTATGGCATCGCTTTTAAGCATTCTAGAAATTGCATCTCCCAAGTATAACAGTGTCAGTTTTTTGCTACAGACAGCCACTTTTCAAAACTGAAAGCTCAAGTTGAAATCTTCCAAATAAGACCTCCTCTGTGTTCAGCACATACTTTATCTCTTGCAGTGATCGTCGTCGTTGATTGCTCTGCTTAGTGTAGGAGATAGCCCCGAACAAAAACTGAATGAAAGAATACATAATTCATGCATTTGACCCTGCAAATCTGGGATCAGAGTTCTTGTTGTCGATTGCTGCCTGTTCATGTAATTAAGTTTGTTTGTTGTCAACTTAACTGGCCACAAAATCGATAGTTACCAACAACTGACTCTACTTTTGACATAAAAAATTGGCCGTTTTCTGATCTTTTGTTTTTTCCCGATGCCAGAAACAAAGCAATGCTACTATCAAGTGGAGTAATCCCCCTCCTCGAAACCATGATCACAAACTCCAAAACCTGTGAATCCTCCGCCGCTCTCTACCTAAACCTCTCCTGCCTCGACGAAGCCAAACCCATCATTGGCTCAAGCAAAGCTGTCCCTTTCCTCATTCATCTCCTCCACCCAAACAGCCCTCAATCCCTTTGTTGCAAGCACGATGCCCTCTATGCTCTCTTCAACCTCTCAACCCACCCCTCAAACATCCCCTTCCTCCTCTCAGCCGACATAATCGACAACCTCAACTCTCTCCTCAGCCAATGCACTTGGCCTGAAAAAGTCCTCGCTGTCTTTATAAACTTGTTATCTGACCCTGATGCCAAGGAAAAAATGGTATCAGCCCCAGGGTTTATTGGTTCGTTGGCATTAGTGTTGGATTCTGGCGAGCCACCGGAGCAAGAGCAAGCAGTATCTTGTTTACTGGTTTTATGTATTACTGACGATAATTGTAGCCAATTGGTGCTTCAAGAAGGAGTGATACCTGCGTTGGTGTCTTTAACGGTCAATGGAACAACGAGAGGGAAGGAAAAAGCTCAGAAGTTGTTGAAGTTGTTTAGAGAGCAGAGGCAAAAAGAGCAGCCTCAGGTGATTCAGCTAGAGACGGCGGAGAGAGAGGAGAGCGAGGAGACAGTGATGGAATCAAAACCAGGAGTTTATAGGTCGAGGACGAGGAGATTGGGGAAGACGATAAGCTCGTTGTTCAAGAGCAGCAAGAGTTTCTTGGTGAATTAGTTGTTGGGGAGATTTGTGTTTACAGTGGTTAATGTAAATTGATCTGTAATTTTTTTTTCTTTTGCTTTGAGTCTTGTCTCTCAAGCATTTTCCCTGTTGTCTTGAGAGAGTACTGAAAGGAAAAGAAACCAAGAGAATGTATTGTACAGTTCTTTTTGCCCCTTGGGGTTTTTACTATTTTCCTTTGTATATGATTTACTGCAGTGTGGTGATTCTGCTACAAATGGCTTTAATGTAGCGATCATGGTGATTAATATTATCTAACTTTTACCTTTTCAGGGGCCTTTGAAGTAACGGCCCGTCTAGCTCAGTTGGTAGAGCGCAAGGCTCTTAACCTTGTGGTCGTGGGTTCGAGCCCCACGGTGGGCGTTTCATCTTTTTTATTTATTTATTTTGAGTCCACGTCATTTTCAGTTACTTTTTTATTTATTCATTTTGAGTCACATCCTTTTCAATTATTTGCCGTCAGGTCCACGTGGGCGTTTTCCTTTTTTATTTTTATTTATTCATTTTGAGTCACATTGGTGGGCGTTTCATTTTTTCATTTTTTTCATTTTTTCATTTTAAGTCACATCCTTTTCAGCTACTTTTTTATTTTTTATTGATTCGTTTTGAGCGTTTTAATTTTTTTATTTTTTATTCATTCATTTTGAGTCGCATCCTTTTCAGTTACATAGCCACATCCTTTTCAGTTACTTTTTTATTTTTTATTTATTCATTTTGAGCGTTTTATTTTTTATTTATTCATTTTGAGTCTCATCCTTTCCAGTTACTTTTTTATTGGCTAAATACCCATATTGGTATTTTAATTCAACCCGATTTGCCAAGAAGGTATTTTAATTAGGAAAATCGGCGTTAATGCATTTTAATTGATTAAAATTACCAATTAGGTCCTTTTTCTCGTCGGCGATAACTTTTCCGGCGAGAACTCGTCACGTGCGTTGCACGCGGTGGCTTAATCTGTGTTTAAGCTGCTGATGTGCGAGAACTCGTCACGTGCGTTGCACGCGGTGGCTTAATCTGTGTTTAAGCTGCTGATGTGGCACTGTCTTCGATTTAAACGGACTAGGAAACGACGCGGTGGCTTAATCTGTGTTTAAGCTGCTGATGTGGCACTGTCTTCGATTTAAACGGACTAGGAAACGGCTGAACAAAATTATTCACAAAAATCGACTAAGAAACGGCAAAATGCAAGCAAATGGAACAAGACTCGTCTCGTTCCTCTTCATCCTCCTTCACTCCCCGTTCCTTGCTTGAATTGGGGAAAATCGATCCGATCAACGATCTAAACCTTTCTTCTTCTCATCCGAGGCGTCGATAGCCATCCTCTCCATGGATCCACTGGATCTAGCGAAGAAATCGAAATCCCTCGGCTCGAACCTCGAATCCTTCGACCAACGGGACTCGAGATCTTTAGAGAATCGAATGAATCCTGACTCGAGAGGGGAGATTTCATCTCTTACGGATTGGACGAAGGATTCCATTGGATCGGCGCGCAAAACCATCTGATGGAAATGAAACCCTAGATGATCGCAGAATTTGAAAGAAAAATCGCATGAAATTGATCGTGAAATAAAAACCTAAACAGAACCTGAGCTTGAGAGAGAAGAAATGGCGGAGGGGAAGTGAGAGGAGAGAGAAGTAAAGGGTGAGCTCGAGGGTTTTTTTGAGGACCAGAGATGGCCGAATGTTTTATTCTCCCTGCCACGTCATAACACAGTGCCACATCAGCAGCTTAAACACAGATTAAGCCACCGTGTGCAACGCACGTGACGAGTTCTCGCCGGAAAAGTGGTCGCCGACGAGAAAAAGGACCTAATTGGTAATTTTAATCAATTAAAATGCCTTAACGTCGATTTTCCTAATTAAAATACCTTCTTGACAAATGGGGTTGAATTAAAATACCAATATGGGTATTTAGCCCTTTTTTATTTATTCATTTTGAGTAGCATCCTTTTCAATTATTTGCCGTCAGGGCCACATGGGCGTTTTCCTTTTTTATTTTTTATTTATTCATTTTGAGTCACATTCGTGGGCGTTTTATTTTTTTTATTTTTTTATTTTAAGTCGAAAAATTCCTTAAGGACCCAAAATATGGGACCAATAGGGGGGACAAGTGAGGTATCCCCCTCCTATTAGATAATAAATTGGCCATCATTAATAATGATCAACTCATTATCCAATAAGAGGGGGATACCTCACTTGTCCCCCCTATTGGTCCCATATTTTAGGTCCCTGTAGCAAATTTTTATTTTTTATTTTGAGTCGCATCCTTTTCAGTTACTTTTTTGAGTCACATCCTTTTCGGTTACTTTTTTATTTTTTATTTATTCATTTTGAGCGTTTCATTTTTCATTTTTTCATTTTTTCATTTTGATTCTCATCCTTTTCAGTTACTTTTTATTTATTCATTTTGAGTCGCATCCTTTTCAGTTATTGCCGTCATTTAAATTCAAAGAAGCCACTCAATAATGTCTCTCTTACTCAAGTGATCATCATTTCATTTGTTTACATTGCAGATTTCGATATAGCTGAGAAACTAATTTCCACGCATTTATGAAAAAGTTTTTAGCTAAGATGGGAATGATAACTCCATCATCTAAAATTTGTTTCTTTGGGTCTCCACACCCCTTTCGTAAAACCTGAAGTAACAAGCATATCCATTATCGATCCACAAAACCGCTTCAGCAGCATCGTGGCTTCTACACTTTCATGTTGCGGGATTTAGTAGAGCATGAACAGCGAACATTGGATCCGTACGTGCTACAGTAACAATTCCACCGCAACTTACTGTAATATTTGCTATAGCATGAATAGTGAATACTGGATCCTCCCATTATTTTAGAGGAATAGATATGGCAATGCCGAGGTTAATTCAGCAGCATCACGGCTTCCATAACTAATTTTCTTTCGATTAAAAATACACGATACAGGAAGAACGTTTTCACGTCATCGTTCTTCTACCTGGTCGAAAGTGAATCTCAACTGAGAAACTCAAAGCAACAGGGAAATGAAAGATGATACAGATCCCTATCAGATCACTTTCCAATAGACGAGGAATCGAATAATCTAACTTTGGAAAATAACATTTTGGTTATTATTATAGGCTTGGATCAAAAGGCAATGAATACAGCGTCTCTCCGCTTCTTTATGAAGCTAACGCCTCTCATATTTTTATTCATCCATCACCAAAGTACAAACCAGAGAAGAAAAGAGAGAGCTTGAACGGAGAAAGAGATTTCATTTTTTTTTTGTTTTTTTAATGGAGTCTTTGATGATCTCCTTTATACCCTTCAATCACTAAGATATCGATACATATAAACATGCTCCTCATTAGTGTCTAGGGGCCGTGGGAATAACAGGGGGGGCACAAAAATGATACCTTGATCTCACTTGGATATCAATACAATAGAAGAGATCCTTCCGCGCATAAAGTCGAGTTTTTATCTCACGAGTGTTCCTCCTTGCATTTGCAAGTGCAGCTTGCTTGCTCCTGGTTTAGATCCTGATGACATTATGCGAGGAAAACAATATGTCATATCATCTATATACCCCCAAAAAACAAAAAAGAAAAAAAAGAAGAGAGAGAGAAGAACTCGACATCATAAGAAATAGAATATACTATGTATGCGCCTCAGTTCATCCTTTAAATTGCTCACTTAAAAACCTTGCCTGGATTGTAAACGGTTGGAAACAGGGTAGTGCAGGAACCAAATATAGAAATGTGAAACATAACGTTCAATAGTTTTGGACATTTGTAGATCATAATCCTAATAATCTTGCTATACATCTACCTTTCAATCACTTGATGCGTATGCAACGAGCTTCAAAATCCAGAATATAGATTGTTGAAGATCAGGAAAGACAAGTTGGATTTCTCAACTTCCACAGGGATCATAATATATAACATGAAACCTAAAAAACTTTTTCTCTGATATAAATTTGGCTGCAATGGGAAGAAGCCACACTCAAATTCAATGATAAGAACATCAAGATGAAGGTCTGCTCATTAACCGGATCTACATTGCTTCGAGTGTGAGAAAATTAACAATCAAACATTTTGAAGAATCAATTGCGCACAACACGGATGGTCGAGTGGCTAGTCTTTAAATTTAATGATCTAGCATGTTTGAGACGAAAATAATAACCAGCGAGAAATTGTTTTTTAAGTGCTTAGATCACAACTAAATGCTTGGATCAAGTATGCATATGCTCAAATCCGTTTTTGCCTACTTGATACGTGCGTAGGAAAGTTTTAACTTTTAGACACTTCACACTGTATAAATAAACTTTAATTAGCTGGATCTTCTATTTGAATATCTGTATAAGATTTAAAAGAGAAATGATTTGGCTCCAAGTTTTTTCTGGAGGTAGCTAAGTCACCCCCAGGCCCACAAGCCCGTTGGCATGGTGTAAGCTTCGGGATCCACCGAGTGCTACATGTTGTTTGGCTCGAAAATGATTAGTCATTTGTTGCACGTGAACTACATGACTTATCTTATAAACCCATTCTCATATTTGTCACCATTCAACGTGTGACTAAAGTGGCGACGGTTCGGTCCCAAGCTAAGTCTCTCTCTTATTTTCAAAAGTTTGATACTGACTTTAGCTAACGTAGCTCCTACGGCATACTTAGCTAAAAAGACTTCTTTCCAGCTATATAAACAACTAACTACTGATACAAACCTGA